TGGGCTAAAATTCAGGTCCGTTTCCACCCACCTTACCGTTGATCGTGTTGACCATTCGGCTAAGACTTACTTTTAGGTAATTCTGTCTGACGCCAACGCTCCCGGAGAAGGTGAGCATAAAATAATGGATTTCATCCGAAAACAACGTGCAAATCCTGCTCATAATCCGGATACTGTACATTGCCTTTGTGGGGCCGATGCTGATCTCATCATGTTGGGCTTAGCGACCCATGAGGCTAACTTCAATATTATACGGTAAGGCAGGCAAATAGTTTTTTTTTAATTCATATTTCAACCCCTTCTCTTCCAGTGAGGAATTTATTCCGAACCAGGCAAGGTTCCTTGCATCTCTGGTGGGCCAAGTACGGACATGAGCTAAAAGAGTGTTAGCAGGGTCATCGTTTTCAAGTTTCTATAATATTTAGTTGCAGCTGAAGTTTCAAAGAAAATGTGGTTTACTTCAATTCTCAGTGGTCATTTTTTGGAAACGTTTTTTCTCCGAGAATTTCATGATCCTACCGCAAACATTCAAAAGTGTGAAATCGACAATTCACACCTGCATTCACCCTACAACTTCCTTTTTAGGCTTGAAAATGAGGAAAAAAGGTCCCGAACACGCCGATCCTATTTCAAAAGAGAAGAACTTCATCTTTTTGCGTATACCCGTTTTGCGAGAATACCTGGAGAGGGAAATGGCCATGGAAAATCTTCCCTTCAAGTACGACTTCGAACGCGTGATCGATGATTGGGTACGCTTGTTGATGCTGCCTGGAGTATTAGTCATTTTTTATTATGTCAACGTGTTTTCAGGTTTTCCTATGCTTTTTCGTCGGTAATGACTTCTTGCCTCACCTCCCTTCGTTAGAAATTCGAGAAGGTGCCATAGATCGCTTGATCAAATTGTATAAGGATATGGTGTATACGATGAAAGGGTAGGTTCTGTGGCACAGCTTCTACACGTAATAACTTCGAAGAGTCTACTTCGAGAACAGCAAAATTATTGCAAGCATAAATGCTATGAGATGTTTTGGATAAATTTGTAGGTATTTGACCAAAGACGGGAATGTTTATATGGACAGAGTGGAGCGGATTATGCTCGGTCTAGGAGAAGTAGAAGACGAGATTTTCAAGCGTCGTCAGGTATGTTCAATTCAAAAGTCTGACTTAAGGTCGCCTTGATGGATATCTGTAGGAGTGAATTGTCGCTTTCCTATGAGTTTTGAGAAGGATTAGGGGAGGAGGGTTAAGAGAGCTCCTGTTACATACATCTTTGTTAAAAAGTGGTTGTTTGGGAACAAAAACAATTTTTGAGTTGAGCATATGAAGAGTTTTCTTTTTATACGGTACTTAATGTTTTAATAATTTCTGGCGTTTTTCAGCAAGATGAAGAACGGTTCAAAGCAATCCAAAAGGCGAAAAAAGCGCGTCTCAGTGGAGGACGTCCGCAGGCGCCATCTTATGTGCCAAGGGCTGGGTCATTAATCGCACCTCTAGCGAAGGCAACACCGTTGAGTGGAGAGACTACCCGTGTTCTCGCTGCTAACGATCGAAAAGAGGTTTGAATGCGCCCGTCTTCGTGAAGAGGTATGAATTATGAAGTACAACGCTTACAGGCTATGCAGTTTGCTGAGAAGGAGGAAGCTGCTCGACGCATGAAGCTGATGCTCAAAGAAGAAGGGACCAATTCCAAAAACAATCAAGATAGTAGGAAAAGGCCAGCAGAGGTTTGAACATTTATCTGAATAATCTTACAGAACGTGCGGTCGTTGGAAAAAAGGATATAAAAGATTTGAAGTATACTTACTGAGCATTCGATCTCTTTGCGACAAGCTTTACCATATCGCGCAAGCTTTAAGATTTTAGTTAAGAGCGGACATACTTCTGAAAGGACAACAAAACATTTAATTAGCCCTAGCAATAGATTCCGTTCTAGGCTCCGTTGGACCTTTCTGACGAGGAGCCCAAAGACGATATACGGTTGTTCGAGGCTGGTTGGAAAGATCGCTATTATCGGTATGAATCATTTTTAGTGGATTTCTAGTATGCTCGGAATCGATCGTGAATAAATTTAAGAGCAAAGTTCGACGTGGGAGCTGACGATGTCGAGTTTAGACGGAAAGTGGCATGGGCATATGTCGAAGGTCTCTGCTGGGTGCTCAAGTACTACTACCAGGTAGGCAAAATAGAACGGTTTCTATTTCGTCGTTCAAACTCCACATTATATTTGAACTTCTTAAGGGCTGTGTTAGCTGGGACTGGTACTTCCCATATCACTATGCGCCGTTTGCAAGCGATTTTGATACAGTTTCACAGTTCAAGCCTGATTTCTCTCGTCCTACAAAGCCGTTCAAGCCATTGGAGCAGCTGATGAGTGTGTTCCCCGCTGCTAGCAAGTGGTTCAGTGGTCATAGTACCGTGACTTGTTATGAAGGCTATGCATTTTGAAAGTCCGCTTCAGACAACATCTTCCTCTGCATTGGCAAAAATTAATGACGGACGAAGATTCACCTATTATTGACTTATATCCGATAGATTTCCGTATTGATCTCAATGGAAAGAAGTTTGCCTGGCAAGGAGTGGCGCTGTTGCCTTTCGTCGATGAAGTCCGACTACTTAGAACCTTAGAAACAGTACGTTTAGTCTGAAGTTATAGTGCTGCGTAGTAGAAGACAGTTTTTGGTGGGGCGCTTTCATATATTTGGCCGTCCTATCGCATAGTATCATATAGTATCGATCGTCACTTCCTCGATGCGGAACTATCTCTCAAAGAAGGTGTCTCCCTTTGCATTGTTTTTAGTGTAATTGTTCATCAGATGTTACCTATTACGTTCCCAGTTCAAAGATTACGTTGACCGGAGGATGAGAACAGCTTCGTATACTACTGAGGGTCCTCAATAAATATTCATTGCAGAAATCATCCAGCCTTTGCACTTTTTCAATGAGCTCTACTCACACAACAATGGATGGCCGGCATTATGAAATGTTTTTTTTTCTCATTTCTTCTCTAACTTATTACGCTAGAGTTCGCTGTATTATCGCGTGCATTGATACAAATGTCAGTTTCAGAAGAAACTCCCTGTTGACATTGATCCCGCGTTCTTACACTACGGAGTTAATGACAGATAACGGCTGACGAGAACGGGCTTCTTGCCTCCGGACCTGCCGTTTCGCCCTCTGTCTCCGCAATGACCAATCGTCGTCTGATTTTCCTGTCAAGTTTCAGAGCTGTTTTTTGTTTTCTTCTCCATTTCATTAATATATTTTGAGTTGTGAAGGAGTCTCATCTCACATATTTATGTCATTAAGTATGTTGTGGTGACAATATTCAAAGTTTCTGTAAACTCTCACTCGCCTTATCTTGCTAGAGATCGTAACAACTTGCAGGTCAATGGAGCAATGATGGTGATTTATGAAGATCCTCAATATCCTGAAGGGTTTATTTTCCCTGCAAAGCGGTTGGAGAATGCGAAAGAGATTCCTCGTGTTCTTCGCGATTTCAACGACCGAAGGGTGAGCTTTAATTTGTTGAAATGTTTGATTTTGAAACTCGGGGCGTTATCATTTTCATCGCAATAATTCTTCCTTTTCCATTCTTCAGGGTGGTTCGATATCCGTCAAAAATAGGATTCACTGTAAGAGACGTGCCAGTAGAGCAAGCTCTTGATCAGTCCGGTCATTCTGTTTCGTCTCCACCAAAATTGTGCGAACTCTGACAAATCGCAGCTATGGTTATCTGAATTTTAATTCGCTCGCTCAAGCGTTCCATCGCGGGGGCCGTGATGTGCCTGGGCCGTTGTGGCGCTCCAAAGTGCGAGCGACGGGAGATTTACGAACTGATGGCGCCAAATTACCGGTGGTCGGCGGTGTAAATCTCCCGTCGCCTAAACCTGCAATTAGTGTCATAAATCGCTCCACCAATCGCAAAGTTGAGCATCGGCCAGTCGCTCTGCGACCGGGGCCATTCTTAAATGAAGGCAGTACACTATGGACAGGCTGTTCCCCAAAATGTCGTCGTGCGGCGCAAAGGAGGGAGACGCCAGATGCGGCAAAAAGACGAGTTGCAGCGCGTGCTGTGCGATATGAGACGTAGTGTGGTACACTCTTTTTAACCTGACGCCTAACCGCTACAGTATGCACTGCGACTCGTCCCTTTGCCGCGTCTGCGTCTCTTCCTTCGCCGAAGGACCTTTGGGGACACCTCCCACATTGGAGCCTTGGATGCCTCGTCCTCCCGTACTGTCGTGCCTCTCCGTCACGACACTCGTCTTGTTGAGCGCTCTGTGTGAAGGGAAAATAAGCGACCAGTTCTATCACCATATCCGCATGAGTATCTATATAAAATATCCGATCGTCCATTCTGATCGGACGACCGCTATGAAGATGCCCTTTGCATCGTTTTCAGTAGTATTGATTTCAAAAAACGTTTACTTATGTTGCTCAGGTGCAAGATACGTTGACGGAGGATGAGAAAGCTCGTAACACTACTGGTCCTAACAGAATATTTATCGGCAGGAATATCGCGGCTTTGAGTTTCTCAAGGAGCTGTCTACCTAACATAATCGGAGTTGGTTATTTAGTGGAACTGGTTTTTTATTCTTTCTGAGTTCTTAGGGCGGGCTAGAGTTTGGCTTTGCTTTTATGCGTGCATTTACTCCTGCAGTTAGTTGAGTTTTCAGAAGATGAAGCTCGGTTGAGCAATTGATGCCTGCGTTTACATACGGGGTAAGTGGAAGGATAACGGCTGACGAGACGCTCTCGCTCCAGACTTGCCGTTTCCCTCTCCCGTCAATGACAAATCGTGTCCTGATTTGCCTGTAAGTTTCAGGGCGTTTTTTATTCTTCTCCATTTTTATTAATATTTTGAGTTGTAAATTAGTTTCATCTTCATTATTATATGATCATGAAGTATGTTGTGGTGATAATATTCAAAGTTTCTGTAAACTCTGTCACTTGCCTTATCTTTCTTAGAGGGCAACAACTTGCAGGTCAATGGAGCAATGATGGTGATTTATGAAGATCCTCAATATCCTGAAGGGTTTATTTTCCCTGCAAAGCGGTTGGAGAATGCGAAAGAGATTCCTCGTGTTCTTCGCGATTTCAACGACCGAAGGGTGAGCTTTAGTTGTTGATGTTTAATTTGTTGAATGGGCATTATGTTTATGCAAATAATTCTTCCTTTTATTCCTGCAGGGTGGTTCTGATTATCGTCCACAAATAGGATTCACTAGAGACGTGCCAGGTAGAGCAAGTCTTGATAGTTCTGGTCATCGTTTCATCCAACAAAATGTGCGATCTGACAATCGCAGCTATGGTTAGTTGAATATGTTTTTTATTGGAGAGGTTTATTTGGAGGTACAGCCTGCGATAAGATTCTCTGAGCGATTTTTTCTGTGAGTGACGTAGCTGCCCCCAAATACATAAGTCGTGGTAATGTCGCGCCTTGAAGCTGCTCGCAAAGTTGCCAAGGCTGTCTTGGTCGTTGCGACCGGGACCATTCTTACTACAGCAGCGTACATGGTGGGGTGTCCCCCAAGAGGCCGTTGTGCGGCGAAGGAGGCGACGCAGATGCGGCAAAGGACGAGTCGCAGCGCGTGCTGTGGGCGATACTGAAGACTTAGCAATGGAGGCAGCCTATTTCACGCTAAGCGCCTAACTGCTACAGTATGGCTGGCGGACGTACTCGTCCCTTGGCAGGGCCCGCGCCGTAAGCCTCTCCTTCCCCTCCTCGCCCCGCCGCGACGGGCCTCCTTGGTGCCGCCGACACCCGCACATCGGTGTCTGATGCCCTCTCTGTATGTCGCTGGGGCTCGATCTCTCACACACTTCATCTTGTTATGCTGTGTGTGATAAGGAAGTAAGCGCTCAGTTCCAGTTGTTTTATGACTCTTTTTTCTCACTGGCGGTCGTATTAGGCGGTCGTATTTCTCACCTCTTATTCCGGTGTCTAGCGAAATGACCGCAATTTTTCACAGACTGCTGACTGTGCCTTTAAGCAATTTACTGCATCGAAAAGTAAAGTTTGAATAAGTGTGAAGATTGGTGCTGTCGCCTGTGTTTTGCCAACTTTTTGAAGTAACGAGGGCTGATGGTGAAACTTTTTATTTGTTTTCAAAAGTTTCAGATGGAGACCGTAACTTCGGCGGAGGTCGAGGAAGAGGATATGATGGTAGAGGAGCTGGCTACCAAGGTGAGAAATGCCTCGCTCTCCTGATCAGCTTCAGGTTTGATCACTATTTGATATGATTTCTAGGAGGTGGTTACAATCGTGGTGGTTATGGTGGAGGACAGAATGGAATGTATGCGGGTGGAGGAGGAGGAGGAGGAGCAGGAGGAGGATATCGTCCGAATCCGTATGGAATGCAAGATCGCGGTCCTCCTCGCGGCGGTTATGATAGAGGTTACGGAGGTGCACCAGCGAGAGGTTTCTCGAGTTCTGGGTATGACCAAGCACCTCGAGGAGGAGGATATAGAGGAGATTTTCCAAGAGGACGAGGAGGCGGATATTCTGGACAGGGTGGACAACGTCCATGGCGTTAACGCTGATGTCTGTTGTTAGTAAAGTAATCAACTTTGTAGGCATTTGGTTCATTTTGTATTTTCTAATGTGATTAAATCATCCAGGATGATAGTCTGTCGCATTCCTAAGTCTACTTGTAAATGTACAGAATAGTTGAAAATCTTCACGACCTCTCTCACTCTTACTATCTCTCTCTACCTCTGTTATCAAGAAGATTCATCCTAAACTCCAAATGAGTACCGTTGCATACTTTTGTTGATTGTTGAGTGACTTGTTGTTTTTATTCAATGAATGTGTACTACGGGATTTCCTTGTTCAACGTTCGACCAGTGAGTCCTTTGATCTCCGGCAGTTCTTGCAATAGCAAGTAGCGACACACAATTTTTTTGATCAATGTTTCTACTCAAGTCTAGCTTTTCCTATGATAAAATTAGTAGATAGGAGCGATCTGTGCTACTGCATTGCTACTTAGCAGTAAGGTGGATGTCAGACTTGGCGATTGCGCACTCGCGACAGCGTTGTGGCCGTTTGTTGCACAATTGCGGAGTGGGGAGTGTCGTTATTGATCTGTATGGTCTGAGCTGAGCGCGCTATCACTGTCGCTGTCACGATTGCACAATCGTCGAGTCAATGCTCACAAGTCGCTCTGCAGCTTCGCAAGAAAAGAGAAGAATTAAGGGCGAAAGACGAAAAAAATCATTGGCATTTCTCAATATGCTCTGCACCGAGGCCATAGTGGTTACATTACGTGATTGTTAACTTCATGATATCGATATACCTAATACTTTCAAAAAGATTCCATTCAATCGGCCACGCACATGAGGGTAGACTTTCTCTAGCGTCACTATAGCAAAGTCGCAGGGTCCGATGTCCAGTCGTCGCCAATTTGGATTGTTCTGTGACATCTGTCTGCTGTGCCTCAGCTTCAGTAAGGTCCTTCTTGAGACGTCTATCCACCTCTTCTTTGGAGCTTCTCGCCTTGCGCTTATAAGTCCATCGCTTTCCTAATCGTGTGAACCTGTGGTCTATGTATTTAGCACCATGTGCCAAGAAACAGTCGGACAGGCGTTGTGTTCCGCGCAGCTCGCGTTGACGGCAGTGGGCTAGTCCGCATGTGCCGGCTCTGAGAATCTGCCTCTGACCCTGCCACGAGTCGGCGTCAGGCCGCTAGGCTGCATTCCTTTTGAAACGTTGATTTCCATTCCAGGGATTGCTTGTGGTTAGCATCGCGAACTTTTTTGGAACGATAAAAGCGTAACTGTGCATGGCTGGCCGCCAAGGTGTTGGGCAATCGCATTTCAGATCCCTGAGTGGAAAGTTAAGAGATGCCGGAGCATACTCAGAAAGTATCCTTCTTACGACAGGTTTACCTACATTTCTTTTTGATGATTTGCTGCCGTTGAGCGAAATCATCACGGACAAAATCATATTGATCTCTATCTCACCCATAAATCAGCTTAGCTTGAGACCCATCGTTCACAATAAGAGCGAAAAGAACAAACAAAAACTGCGTTTCTCTCAGTAAATAATTCGAAAAACTGAAAGAACTATTACACGTTTCAAATTCCCGCTTTGCGTTACACTCTGTCGACTATGTTGATTTGGTGGAAAAATTTCACTTGATCCTCGCGCTAGTGATCTTACAAGGCGCTCTTTTGCGGCCTCTTCCCGGCTGCATGGTAATAAACATTTCTCCTGTCTAGCTGGCATCTACTCTTGTCGAAGCGGGTTTGTCTCATCTCCCTAATGCGAAGTAAATCGGCTTTGCGTCGCCGATTCGCTGGTGGCCGCTAAAAGGTACGCTTGTTTGCACGCGTCACCTTGTCTCCGCGCTCACCTACCCGCACCGGTCCCAGGAGTGTGGTTGTTGTTAGTGCTTGTTTCCGTTTCGGAAGCTCCTTCGGAAGCTTGAGTGTTCCTGCTGAAACTCTTCTGAAAGGCTCCAACTGAAGGAATCGCCTTATGGCGAAAAGTAATACAAGTAGTTTCTCGTGAGGGATCCTACAACTGTCCAGCACTCAGAAACAGCTATAGCTGAATTGTTTGTTCATAGTTGTTGCCATTTATTAATATTTATGTACATTTGTGTATATCAACAACTATAGTTACAATTTGCAACAACATAAAGATGGCGTACTGTGACTGTAAGTGCGTCTCAGATGAGATCGGTGAGTCTGGGGGACTGCACAACATGATAGCTAGCTGCTAAAAATATTAGAACGACTAGACACGATCTACTCTTAATTATGACGACTTCAGCAGCGCTACCTCTCGGAAGCCCGTTGTCTCCCACCGCTGCTCGGGGTCAGTTATCTCGCTGTTTTTCACAAACGACTCGCACGTTGGGCTCCTCCACAGGTAGTAGTGGTCGCGTGCGAAACAAGTGATGACTGAGGGGAAAAGCTGCAAGAATGAGGTGATAAGGTGTATTGAACGGCTAGCAGGTGGTGTCCTCGGAAGCGACACGCTCTTTGACCTTGCATCGGCTGAGCTTCTTCCGCGTTCTCCACGTAAGTGTACCGGATTGCTGAAAGTGCAATCGGTCATCAACTGTAGACGAAGTCTCACTATGACCGATGTCAGACTTTGCGAATCGAGCGATTCGCTAGCGTCTGCGGTCGCGTCGCGGCCAGTGAATCACTCAATTGGCTGGTACCGCAACGCGACCGCGGACGCTAGCGAATCGCGCGATTCGCAAAGTCTGACATCGGCCTATATTGAAACGTACCTAACAAAATAAAGATCCCCATTGTGAGTATCATAAGAAAGGCGTAGAAAAAGAATTCGGTAGCAGGTTCAGGAATGATGTGCGTGCCACTGATGCCCATGTCGATCACATTGCCCATGAACACCGTGAGAAGCCAAAGCGCCTTGAACAATATCAGTAAAGGAGCCAGGATCGGCCGTGCGTTCGCACTATTCGAACGAGGGGGTCGTATTTGTGATTTCAGGGATCAATCGCATTTTGGGGTTGAGCAAGGTTGACGTTTGGGAACAAACCCGTCAAATGCGACTCTCACTTTTCCCAGACGTGTGAAAAATGAGAGTTGCATTTGACGGGTTTGTCGACGAGTTTGACAAAGTTCATGAAAGTAGGGAAAGGGTGAATGATTTAAATTACAATAGTGCTCCGTACCCACAGGGGTTTCAATGGTCTGCTTCTCTTCCTGATACGGTAAAATACGGTAGCGTACGGTGAGATGGTCAGGTCAACCAATGAGACTGTTATAGGGGTGGAGCGCAGACCCCGCCCACATAAGGTCGCGCAATGTGATTTGCAGTTCTTAGCAGCTTCTTTGAGCCATCCTATACTATTTACCGAAATTAGTGGATATCTTCATAATTTCGTGATGCGAATTTACCTCCCCCACCCCTCCCCCGCCTTGCTCAACGATTGGTTTGGAGGAAGAAAGTGGACAAAGTTGGGTGGGTCCAGTGCTCCCAGAATCATACTATCAGTGCTACCATGCTATGAAAATAGCTATGGTATCGGGGGTGGCGATCGGGTGATGGGGAGGGGAGGGATAGGGAGGAGGGTGCCGTGTTGAGAGACCTCCCCAAGATTGATGGTGGTGATGAGAGGGTTTCATCGAAACCGCCTAAAGGGGGAGGTCTCAAAATTTTTGGACAAGTGCGACCCTGATAGGAGCATGAGGGCACTGAAGGGAACTGAGGGAAGTGGGTAGGATACCTGTAGAACACTCTTCATGTTGGGTGCTGATTGAGAGTAGGCAAATTCCAGACCAGTAACCGAGAGCAGAACTTCTCCAAGTGTGATGACGAAGTACTGCGGCAGTACCCATAAGATCGACACCGTGTTTGGCCGTACCTGAAGTGTTTTTTTTTCAAAAAATCTGCTGGCTGCGGACAATTATGTCAAGTGCACTTACAGTTCAATGTTAGTCGCTATCCATTTGCGTGGTTGTCGTGTTACATGCAAAACCCTCACTGATCCCATCGCAGCCTGAAATAGATTTGTTGCAGGAAAAATTGTTGAAAAAGTGATTGGCAGATGCAAAAACAATTTACATATGGAAGGAATATCTGAAAGTGATTATCGTGCGTTTTTTCTCGTTACAATCTCTGTTCTCTTCTCCTCGTTATTAATTTTCCAGCCAGAAGTCAACTTTGCTCAAAAAAGGCACGCTCCGCGATTAGGCGCGCTCGCCTGTTCCATCCCGGGGTAGTAGGCAGGCGGACAAGCGTTGATGTCGCTTTTGCCGCTTGAAAGTGCGCGACAAAGGCGCAAGGAGCTCGTCCGACCCGCAACTCACACCTTCGTCCGCAAGCCCCACCCTCCGCTGTCGGTTGCCACGTGGCGCTGCTTGAAAAGCGCGGGCGCATTTGAGGCAGCGGTCCCATTGCGACCAATGTCATTGGCACTGGAGCAACTAGAGTTAGGTTCGTGAAACTCGTCCAACGCGCCCTTCTCTATCCCAAGGTGGAATGCGGCTGAAATAGGGGAGGTCTCTGTACGGGGCGTAATCGGTGGTTTCGTTTGCTTTCCTTCTCTTTTACAGACCACCTCCCACCTATAGCTTCATAACTGAACGCTTTTCCACACCTATTTTATCCCGAATCTTGCCTTTAAATCAGACGCTCATTAAGAGCAACTAGGAAATTGGGACTTACTGTGAACGGGATTTTCTTGGGGCATGAAGTATCATAACAGTCCTTGCCATAGTAGAGCATATACTCGCCACTGTCGAAGAAACGAGGTCGAATGTCGAGGAAATTGCCAGAGGTCAGATTTTGTGATGCCACCACGTGGTTCCTGAACCGAATGAAAATATATTCACTTCAATGGCAAAAAAGAAACGATTCTTCTTACTTGTGATCAACGACGAAAACTTGTCCAGCGTCCCCTTCGGGCACCACGAAATAGACTCGTGATGCGCCGTTGTCGGTTTTCTCGATGGCGTACATAAAAACGCTGATCTGCGAGCTGAAAGCCAACAATATTCCGTGAGACGGTCAAGTTTTCAGGTCCTACAACTTTTTCCAAATGAGAGCTCAGGCTTACCTTGTGTCGTTGTTGTCGTACAGCCCCATCACATATCCCTTTCCAGGAATTGTAAGGTTCACAGTGTGCACCTGAAATTAGCGCTGATAGTATGTGTTAATGAGCTGTCTGAGACTTCGTGGTTCACCTTAGGGTCAGACAATTTCAACCTGAACTTCACCCGGGAGAAGAAGAAGGTAATGAAACCCGAAAAGACAGAAGGCACGAAATTGACTTTTGGCAATTTTGGTGCAAAGACGATGATGTTAGAATGAATCTTTGCCGGAGAATTCTTGCATTCTTTCCCAACA